GCCCGCCAGCAGCCACAAGGTGACAGTGTTTCAGAGCAATAACTCTGCTCCTTTTCCAACTTCTAGCTCTCGGCTTTGCTGGTTTTTTGTTGTTCTTTTCCCCTCGGCCGTCTCCCCGCTTGCAGTGGCTGCAGCCCCCTTCGTTTCCCCTGCAGGAGGCGGAGACGAGTATTAGGTAATTATCGTTAGGCGGTGTTAGTTTGTGCTGGGCTTGACCCCTCTGCTTTGCGTTGGTGACGGGCAGGTCTCCGAGGGAGCAGTGAGAAAGGGGCAAGTCAGTAACATGGACCTTTGTGGTCCTGAGACCTCCTGGTACGTGGCACTTCCCAACAGCGGGACATGGAAATGCTCTGCCCACCAAGGAGGTCCGGTGGCATCGCCTGGGTCTCCTGGGCTTCAGAGACGGGGACCGTCCTGGTGCCCTGAGCACCCACCGCAGGCAGGTCAGGTCCACGCAGGGCCGCCGAGCTCTCTGCGAGCAGCAGACCCCCCCCGCCCCGCGCACGGGACTGCTCCGTCTGCTGCTTCGACAGCTAACGGGCCTGGCAGGATGCATTAGTGGTGCACCCGTGGTGTCCCGGACAGTGCCAAAAAGCTTTGTCCGGTGGGCACAAACCACCCAGAGTTTCTGAGCGCCAAGGGAGTCGGGTCAAAGTCAAGTTGGTAGCAACGCGTTCAGCCCCGGTGCACGTTTCAGTGCCGCCCTCGCTGTCTTCAGCTAAGAGGCAAAAAGGAGCAAACTGCAGGGTTATGCTGGAGCTCCAAGCGCTGAGTGTGCCCACGAGCACTGAGGCTGAGGTGTTGCCCCTCGCTTGCTCAGTGTCCGGTTCATCTCAGCGATACCACTTATGCTTACTCACCTTGTTGGAAGCCGTGCTGTGATGCTTGGGTGCTCTGACAGCCAATGTGTTGGTTTCAAGGCTGTTTTAACTTAATTTTGGAAAAGCTGGTACAGGAGTCACGTCTGACTGACTTCATTCCTCATCCTTCACTACTGTGCGTGTTGATTGCAATACTAAAATCTGCCCTAGATCTGCACTGTCTAATTAATATATGTCTCTGCATAAACCTATAGAGCGTTAGGCATCAATTTCTTCCAAGTAAGCACCCAGAAATTTAGCATCTTGTTTCATAAGTAATTATCATTAACATATATACGCCTCTAGTGTCTGGAAGCGTGGCATACAAAAATTACGATCTGCGTTGGTGAGGAATGAGAGGCGCAGGGTCAAGTCCTCTGCCAGCCCAGCTCTGCCGGCCGGCGTTGGGCAAGCACAGGGCACTGGTAAGTCCGTGGGTAGTGAGATGATGCCCTTGGGCTGTGATCTCCGCGCTCAAAGTCTCTCTTGACCTTCCTGAAGTTGTCTCGTCACCTTTTCCTTCTCCTTACTGCTAATTTCATTTCATCATCCAGGTATTTGTTTCACTTTAATTGGAGCGTTTTATTTGTTTATCTGGATATTTTCAAATCAGCAAATCCTTCCCAGTCCGTGCGTCAGGACGCTTTGAAGGACAGCGTTTCACGTAATCCCCAAATCAAGGCTCTTACAGCATTGAAGTCTGTTAATCAGCGTGTTCTAACAAACAGCCATTTTAGAGGGGTTTATTATCCTGGGAAAGCTCAACCAAACAGTATCATTAATTAGCCGCCTGAAGAGCTATTAGTACGTAACGACCATGAGAAATCAAAATGGCAGGTAACGATAAGATGGCCGAGGAGCATCTTCCTTCGGCCGGTCCCCTCCGACCAGCCGGGTGCGGGGCTGGCAGGGTGGTTGCACGCCGCTGCGCGGGGCTGGATTCATTTACTGCAGCCGCGTCGCTGTGTAAACACGCGGGAAGAGCCAGTTCCAGGACGAAATTGCTTGTAATCAGGAGTGGGAGAGATTACGGCTGAAACAGAAACGTGAGGAAGCTGTCAAAATCAAGCGGCGGGTCTGTAACAGAGCCGAGAGGAGGTGGGTCCCCGTCTGAGCCTTCCTCTCCGGAGCACGGGGCCTGGTGGTGGCACGTGGTCCCAGTCTGCTGGGGGAAGTCATCTCGTGATTCAGCTGCGTGGAAACTTTGCACCGAGTTTATCCTGTTATCAAACAAATAGACATCAAAAGGATGTTTGTAAAGATACGTAAATACACACGCGTGGAAACGCCTGACTTGGGCTTGAACCTTAAAGACAACCTTTCATTTCAGAGACTATTGCAGGACCCTCGGCTTTTAGCGCCATCAGGTGGATTTAGGCATTGCTAAATGGAGCTGTACGAAATGGTAGACTGGGAGTTTAAATTACAGAATGAGGTCTATTTGTAGCTTCTTTTCTTCTAAATACAGATTAACCGTCAGAAAACGGGTACTCTAGACTTTCAGTTTTGTACTGGTACGTTTTTCCATATACCGTAGAAGTACCTAGGAGGTAACCGAGCATTTCTCTTGAGAAACAAGGTGAATATTTTCAGGGACTTTCCTGGCGCTGGATCTGGCCCTTGCTGGCCCCAAGTGAAGCACAAATATCCATACCTCCTCCAGACCGACGTGAGAATGTCGGGAGCACCGATCCCCGCGGTACGGTTAAGGTCGGTTGCTTTTTAGGATACCCTACTGCATGCAGAAGTCCACAAATCTTTATTAAGATCTGTCCTCTCCAGCTGTGTGTCTATATCTGCCTTTATTTTTTAGGTAATTTGTGCTGTATACTTTCACCAAACGATTGCTTTTATTGTATGTGGTTCCTTCTGTTGGGCACTTCTCTTGTTGACTATGATTACTACCATATCAACTGAAAATGCTCCTTTACTGTATAATTAACTTTATCTGCTTTGCTGCAATGACTCTCACTGGTAATTACACACACTTCAGCTCTTTCACTGCATTTCTAAGACTTTAAGAAGTGCTGATTACTCTTGCCCAGTCTCTGTCCAAACTGGAGGGTTTTCACATGTGTACAATTATAT